TAATGAACGTAAAAATCAAAAGTTAGTACAAAGTACAAAGTCGAAGTGTAATTCTTGTACTGCAAACTTGTGAGTTCCTTCTAATCCATAATCAATACTAATTCATAATGCGCCTACGATTAGTGGAAGGAAAACAAAGAATGCATGATTATGAAATGATGCAACCAAATTATCAAAAAAAAAAAAAAAAATGAAATGATGCAACCAAACTCAATATTCGAATGACCAAGAAGGACAAAAAATTTCGGTTAAAAGTTACACTATTAGTTTTGAATATAGGGCAATGACAATGGATTACACTCTACAATGGATCACACTCAATAGAGTATAATTCATATACTATATCATCACTTTGTTAACTTCTCTTTCATTATATTATCTTTCACTATAGATTGCACTCTACATAAAGAAATTAATCTTTTTTTAAGTTCAATATTTGGTTGGAATTGATATAGATAAATCCTATTTTATAAAATATATTTTTTTCAATCTACGTTTTTTTTCTCCTTTCTTTTGCATTCCTTAATGACCAGTACGAAAATAATAATTAGATTTCTTAATAATGATAACTGGCCAATTTCTATATTGTTTTGCCACTTTGATTATTGCAATTCTTTTCCTTCAATTATTTTTTTTTCCTGATTGTGGGTAATCAGTAAATTTATTTTGAAATATTGGATATTTTGATATTTGAGAGAAAAGGAGTTCTTTCGCCTCGAACTAGAGTATAATAGTGTGGGGCCACAATCAAATCACATATTTATTTTAATAATTCATAATACATATCCCATAAAATAAAATTTAAAGCTTTTCAAATCGTCAAATAGGACCCATAATTAGCCTATTATACGTGTAATAATTACGATACGCATCATGACTATTACACTTCACCTATACTCCCACTATGGGAGGGTATAATAATTAGGTGTAATAAAGGTATTACATCCTCTATGACACGCCATTGTGAATGCCGTTGTAATCTTATGAACTAAATTTAATGATACTGTTAGTATGTAGTAAATTGTATAAAACATGATAGTATCAGTACTTGTATGTTAGAGTTGGAGTTATGAATTATCTAAAAAACTCAAAAAAAATTTCCAAACTCGCTTGGCATTCCGTGTATAACCATAGCAACCTAAATTTGTACTGTCAATGTAGTCAAAGCCAATTTATTGGCAGGTCGCAATTTGCTATGGGATTGCTGTCCAATATCGGCACATTGCTGTCCAATGATGGTATCAGTACTTGTATGTTAGAGTTTAAGTTATGAATTATCTAAAAGCTCAAAAAAAAAAATTCCCAAAAATGTTTGATTTATAATTCCAAATTCACTAACGTTTTTAGAAAACAATTGATTAAAAAATGACCAAAAAGTACCATGTTATATGGGTGACAAAAAATTCTTTGTGTCAACTTGATTGTGACAATCAAGCATGAGTGGTATTACTGGTGCAATGAAATGTAGAATATGTAAATGTAAATTTTTTTTTTGTTAGAAAAAGTTTTTTTTTAGCCCAAATATAAGTTTTGAACATCATACACTATCACGCTGTCAAAATGAAGATAAGATAGATCTAATTTTACTTCTATCTCTTCATTAAAAAGAATAACATGAATAATTGGAACTGATCAAATATAATATCTACAAATTGGTTTATTAAAATCTATTATTTTACAAAATAAATAAAATGAAAACATTCTAATAATATAATTTACATTCCAATTCAAATAACATTCAACATTCGAATGATTTAATTAACATTCTAATGGTTCAAATAACAGAAAACATAGAGAGGTCGCCATAGAAAAAGTTGTTGCTAAGATCCAAGTAGTTCAAGTGTGGATAGACCCCAAACATGATCAGTATCTCCGAGAGGTTTCCAGTGAGCTGGTTCCCACCGAAGGCAGCTTGACGCAAACTTGAGCAGTTCTTCAAGCCTCTAGGAATTGGACCTGTAAGCATGTTGTCATTTACAGTGAAGTTGCGAAGCACTCCACTTTGACATAGCTGATCGGGCAAGTGTCCAGAGAATTGATTTTCTCCCATGTTCAGATGAAGTAACTTTGTCAAGTTTCCAAGCTCTTGGGGAATAGGACCAGAAAGATGGTTCATGCGGAGATGCAAATACTGCAAGTTACTCAAGTTACCTAGTGTAGCAGGTACGGAACCACTAAGCAGATTATCGCTAATTCCTAGATCCTCGAGAAATTTCAGACTGCCCAACTCCTTGGGAATTGAACCAGAGAGTTGATTGTCATATAGGTGCAGGACAGTCAAACTGGCTAAATTACCTAGTGATGGTGGGATTGAGCCGCTTATACTGTTATTCAATAACCTCAGACTATGCAGTGATGTTAGATTCCCTGTCTCAGGAGGAATGAGACCAGTGAGTTTATTGCTGTAAAGATGCAAGACCTCTAGTTTGTTCAAGTTTCCAAAGGAGGGTGGAATAGGACCTGATAACTGGTTTCCGTTCAGGTAAATGTCAACAAGATTGTAAAGATGTCCTAATTCAGGAGGAATAGGGCCTGAAAGCAGATTGTCATTGAAATACAAATAAGTCAATTTTTTCAAATTGCCCAAGGAAGCAGGAATAGGGCCATCAAGATCGTTAGTGGCCAAAGCCAGATCACTTAGAGACCTTAATTGCCCCATCTCCTCAGGAATTGAGCCATTTAACTCATTCCCATTTAAATGAAGGGTTTGAAGATTTTTCAATCGTCCAATCTCACGTGGGATAGTATTTGAAAATAGATTGCGCTGCAAGTCAAGATACAAGAGCTTGGAGAGGTTACCTATCTGAGGTGGCATGCTCCCAGAAAGATCATTCAGGGTCAGATCAACATATTCAAGATTTGGGAGGGATGAAAACGGAAAGTTGTAGAGAGTACCATTGATACTTGAGTTTGTGAGGTTCAACCGGTTGACACTTCCATGAATGCAAGAGACACCATACCAAACGCAGGGGCTGGCGGTTTCTTTTCGAGAATGAGAAGAATTCGCAGCATTTGGCGGAAGATTCCATGAAGATAGCAGGGGATTACCCGGGTTCTGAAAACTTGCTTTCCATTTAAGAAGAGCCTCAGCTTCTTCAACAGAAGCTAATGCACTTCCCAGGCTGCAAAGGAATGCCGTTAGAACTATAATGATCATGGTTACTACGTTAATGTGTGAATTCAAGATGGCTCAAAGTGAACATTTGAATGGAAAAAATGAAAGTAGTCTTCTCATAAATTGTCCTTGTTTGTGTCACTTTCGGGGGGATCGGTAGAAAATGAAAGTTGTCACCAATGGGTAAACTTCGACTACGCGTGGACTTGATCGATCCTCTTAGTCTGTGTTTTAGTCAAAGACTGAGTAGACATAAACACGAGTACTTTAAATTTTTGTTTGGAAGTAGTGAGTTTCTCATAATTATTGTAGAATTGCCCTTTTTTTTGTGATGATAAGTAGGCATGTCTCACCAGTAGTATTATCTAATTTGGATTGCTATTTTTTGAAATTTTTATTAAAAAAATATATTGTGATGATTTGATGAATGTGAGGAAAAATAGTGATTAAGAAGACGTGTTCGTAAAAAACATAAAAAATTTTTAATAGAAAATTACAATCCAAACATCACCTAACACTTTTCCATAACTCAACTACTATTGTAAGATTTGGTGCCTTCAAAAACTTCAAATTCATAGCTGCTATAAATAGTTGTGTATTTTAAAAGATTTTGTCTCACATTAGAGAATCAAAGAGACTTCCAATCATTTGATAATGCTTAATTTCTTATTACACTTGTGGTGAGTTAAGACCTAGCGTGGACTCGTGCCACAAGAAGGAAGTGTAAACCGATGGGTTTGCACCCACAAATTTTTCCAACAACAGATACAATTTTGACTAGTATCACAAATTTTTCAACCATCCAATTACACGTGGGATGGTATTTGAAAATAATTATTGCCCTGCAAGTCAAGATACTTGAGTTTGTGAGGTTCAACCTGTTGACACTCCCATCAACGCAAGAAACACACTAGTACTATGACAAGCGCAGGGGCTGTCGATTTCTTATGGAATATTGGAAGAATTGACAGCATTTGGCAGTAGGATCCATGAAGTTAGCAATGGATTATTCAGGTTTTGCATCTAACTTCCCATTTAAAAAGTGCCTCACAGCTTCTTCAACAAAAGCCTAAGAACTTCCTAGGAAGCAGAAGAATGAGGTTAGAACTATGACGAATAAAAAAGCCTTCCAACTAGGAGCAGAAATCATGGTAACTTTTCGATGCTTGAACTCTAGATGGCTCAAAGTGAATATATCGAAGACGAACAAATTTACCATAGGCAATTGGCAGATAATAATGAAAGTTGCCACCAATTGGTTACATCATTTTTGCCCATAAAATAAGAGTAGACTTGATTGATCATTGGCTCCCAGTCAACGTACAAGTTTTGTAGCGTACGAGAAAATTGAGGATTATTTCATTCACTATTTCCCTGACAAAAAATTGCTGCACATGTAACAAAGTTTACCGTTCATGCGCGTTTACTTTCTATCTGGAAAACAACGAGTCCAACATGACTTCTTCAGTGTGAAAATGCCCAATTTTCTCATAACCTAATAAAACCGGGATCCGACTTCCTCAGGCAAGAATGAAAAGGAGTCCCAAAATAAAACAGAATACTCTTATACATACATGCATACACATATATGCCTGCATGCATGCATGCACATAATCATACGAAGTTCATTATCTCGCAGCTTCAATTACCCTGAACTTTGAAGATGAACAAAACTCTCCAGCGACCCTTTTTTTCTTTATTCTTGCTTATCAACGCAATTTTCCGTCGTCAGTTAGCTAACTAAAACTAAACATGTTCTGACATTCAAAAATACCTCTTTGACACCAAAATGTAGCCTACATTCTTCTGAAGTAAATTTCCAAGAATGTGGCCCACATTCTTCTAAAGTAAATTTTCTATGCATTAGTTTACGCAAGCACAGTAGTTCACATGATTAAAATTCTATTAGTTTGAACAAATGTTAAAAAGTAATATTAGATTAATACATATCAGAAGGATAAACACTTGCATGTTGCACGTTCTTCCCACCTAGTTTTGGCAAATGTGGTAAAAGCTAAATTTAAAACCAGCAGAAGCAATAGACCAAACGTCATCCTCCAAGTCCAGACTATGGTTTTATATGTCAAACTCCATCTAGCAAATTATCAACATTACTGGACCCTGGTTCCTGAATCAACTGCACCAGCTACACTTAATAAAGCAGGCGCTCGAACCATCTTCTAATTGATCACATCAAAGATTCTTCAACACAAAATTGAAATCAGCAAAAAGTGAAGGCTATTAGGTCAAGTGCAAACCATATTCGACTTGTAGCAACTTTGAGTTGATTAGTCTTACCAATCATGACAGGGTCAGAAATTTGTAAAGAAACTGAAGTTTGTCACCAGCAACAAAATAAAATAACCAACAGCAAGTAAAAACAGCATCAACAGCTGCTGCATCACACAAACAGCATCTACAGCTGCATCATAAAAACAGCAACAACAGCTGCTGCATCATACAAACAGCATCTACAGCTGCTGCATCATACAAACAGCATCAACAGCTGCTGCATCACACAAACAGCATCTACAGCTGCTGCATCATCTTGCCAATCAGCCACATTTACTCTTCACGAACACAACTATAGAAGGCCAGTAGAGGTCCATCATGAGTAAAAAATTGAGTAATAGTGGTCACATCAGTCAATATGTTCACCAAAATCGACAATTTACCAAATCCACACAAACCATAGTGCAGAAACTAGCATCAAACTAGATATAAAGAAAGCGCAAGTACAACGACGAAAAGAGCTAAACCTCATAACCAGTTCGGCCAATTAAGTTCTATCAAGGTCTACACATTCATAACATGAATATCAGAAATGGTCTCCTCAAGACAAGCGCTGCACCAAGCTTCACTCTGAAGATCCATGAGATGGTATCCTGCCCACTCAATCCTAAGAAGAGAGAGAGAGAGAGAGAGAGAGAGAGAGAGAGAGAGAGAGTTTAGATTCAAATCTTATTAATCCAAGTGAAAGTAAACAAGGTTTTGATCTCACATCAGCATCAGAGTGCGGAGATCGGCTTCGGGAATCAGCACGTCGACCACGCGGTGACAGACTTTTTGAGGTTGGTGAACGATCTTTCTGTTTAACTGCATCAGGACTTGCACCACGAGAAGGGGGGGTTCTGCGGGGAGATTGGCTCCTCCTAGGACTTGCACTGCGCCGAGCAGGGGAGGCACTGAGACATTTATAAAAAATCATTAGACCACAGCCAAAGCTCATAAAGCAAGAATTCATCCCTAAACGATGAATAATGAGCAACAAGAAAAGCACTACCTTCCATAAGACCGACTTCGACTGCGTCTATCATCATCATATCTGCCCCTTCCACGGTCTTTGTGGTAATCAGGGCTCCCACTGCGGCTTCTGCTTCGGTGACGATAATCTCTATCCCTGCCACGACGACCCTCACGATCCTTTCCTCTGCTTCTACTACGGCTTCTTCTATGATGATCCCTATCCTTGTAATCATCCCTGTACCTGAAAGGGTTCCAACAAGTCAGCAATTATTTGTAGGTTTCATATGCGAGAAAAGCAACATTCTTGAAAATCCAAGCTACAGATTCCAAAAATTTGAAAGCACAAGAAAACTTCAAAACATAAGAAAAGAAAGATAACAATAATAAATTGAAACGACAATAAAACTTGCAGTCCAGGACTAAAGAAGCACTGTATTTACCACTACACTAGCAGGTCTCTTATAAGACCCAGAATTCAATTATAAAGAGATTCAAACCCCAACTCTACTTGACAGTATTTTTGTGGACCAATCAATAACAATGAACAATGATAACTCTGTTCCCAGAAGAGCAATGTTAACCAGATCTGAAGGTTCCAGAATCACCAACAGAGTTCCAACTCAAGTATGCCATTACACCAACAAAACACAACTCACTATAACCATAAAGTCAATCTTTCTGCATGCTATGTCTCCTCAACTGTCAAGTAAATACAAGACAAGTTCCACAGTAAAACCCCATAATAAACAGACTAAATTAGATACCTTGGCCGAGGGCTGCGACTTCTTGACCTTCCTTTTGACTTGTAAACTGGTTCCATTATTTTTCCTTTGTGACTATTATCCAAAGCAAATGACAGTTGAAACTTAGTAGAAAACCTTAATATACATTCCAAAACATAGTAATCAAACCTAACTACTTTAATCTTATAGTCATTTTTTTAAGTGTCCTTGGACAACTAAGGGGAAAAAATATTCCAGGAAGCTACATTAAAATAATATGGCACAAGTTTAAAAAATAAAAACTTAGGGATAATCAAATCTCTCACATTCGTTCAGCATTTGGACCATATTTTGCGAATTGAACCATTATCTCCCTTCCATCAACAACTCTTCCTGAAATATTAACCAAACTCCATGATGAGAAAGCTTGAAGCAGAAAAGAATTTCAAACCAGAAGATAAACCCAAAGCATACTTAAGCAGGTCAAAATCTTTATGATACACAACTCACCATCAAGCTTTTCAACTGCCTTCTGTGCTTCATCCTGGTACTTGTATCGCACAAAAGCAAATCCTCTTGAATCACCAGTCCTAACAATCACACCCACAATTTATCATATGAATACTATGCACATGCACACACACCATAAGGCGGCAAAAATAGCCATTCAATGAAAATATGTATCAAAACAAACTGGTTTTATTTTTCCCGTGGGAAGTCCAGGTTTTTTGCCTTTTTATTTGTAACCTAAATTTCGACAAAATACAATAGGACTATCATATTTAAACAGATTAAACATTGGGATAAACTTCCAGATTGGATTAAACTTCTCCAAATTTTGCTACAAGTTCTTCCAACACACACAAAACTGAAAAACAAAACCTACAAATTTAAATGCGCGAATACTCTATCTAGAGGTGGAACGCTCAGCATACAAGCATATTTCCAATCCTAACTAGTAATATTTGCTCAAAAAAGAATAAAGCCCAGAACTCGATAAAAGTTCCGAAGTATCGAAACCCTGTTTCTACAACTCATCAAAAGACGAAAACTTATACATTTATGCACATAAATTAATGCTCCGAATCCAGCTGAGTATGAATACAGCCAGAAAAAGAGAGAATACCTGCGGTCGCGGGGGATGAACACGTCAACGACTTTGCCATACTTATCGAAGAGCGGGAACAAATCATCGGCGGTGGTACCTAAAAAATCATAGAAACAATACTAATCGGAAGAAAAAAGAAAAAAATCTTAACAAGAAAAAAAAGAACAGATTTTTGGGTGTAATTACGGAAAGTGATGTTAAGGACGAGGAGAGAATAGGTATCTCTGATGTCCGGAGGGCCCGATCTCCCGAAGTGCGACATTTTTTCAGTCTGAATTGAGAGTGTGTGACTGTGTGAGAGAGAAACTGATGAAGAAGAAGAGGCGAAGGGCGCAAGAGGTGCTAGGGCTTGGGAATTTGAGGAGCTGACGAGTGGATGGAGTAACGAGGGTATTGATTGATTTGACGAATGTACCCTTGGACACTGGAGTTAATTACTAGTTATACCGCTTGATTATTGTTCGTTTGTTCTAGAATGTTTACTGGACTATTGGCCTGTTTGGAACCTGGAGTTTTTTAGGAGTTTGTCTAGTGTACCGTAGAAGTTTTTGAAAAAATTTTGTTGAAGTTTTTGTAAGGTGAAATTTTTTTTTTCCTTTTCTTTTTTTTTCTTTCTCCTTCTCTTTCTCTTCTTTTTCTTTTTCTTTTTCTTTCTTTTTCTTTTCTTTTCTCTCTTCTTCTTCCTTCTCCCTCCCTCATTACCTCTGTCTTCCCAGTTCCCAGCAGCCATGGCCCTACCATTTTTTTTCTTTTCTTTCTTTTGCTCTTTCTTTTTCTTTTTCTTTCTTTCTTTCCTTTTTCTTTTCTTTCCTTTCTTCTTATTCTTCTTCTTCCTTCCTTCCCCCTCCCTCTTCCCTCGCAGTACCAGACGAACCAGCAGCCCCTCTCTCCAAATTTTTTTTTCTTTTTCTCTTCCCCTCTTCTCCCTCTCTGTTCCCCTCTCCCCCTCTACTCCCCTTCACCATCTCCCTCTCCCTCCCGAAGCAGAGAACCAGCAGCCATGGCACCTACAAATTTTTTTTTGTTGCTTTTTCTCTCCCCCTCTTCTCCATCTCCCTCTCCCATTCTCCTCCCCTTTCCTACTCCCCTCCCCTTCCCCCTCCCCTTTTGCCCAATCCGGTCGTTCGACCAGATCGCAGATGCGATATGGTACCGTGCGATCAGATCGCAGCTAAGGAAGCGGGAGAGTGGCCAGGGAGGGGAGGGGAAGGGGGAGAGGGAGAGGGAGAAGGAAAAAAAAAGGGGGTAGGCCGGCGGCGAAAACAACGGCGGAGGTGGTGATGGCCGGCGGCGGAGGGGTGGCCGGCGATGAAGGTGTGGTGGATAGGGATGGGGGAGAAAGAAGAAGAAAAGAGGAAGTTTTTTGTGTATTAGATATTTTGAAGTGTGTAGGTTAAAAAATTTGATAAATTTTTTTGGGTTCCTGTAGTTAAAGTTGTTAAAAAACTAGTAGCTAAAAAATTTGGCCAAAAAACTCGGTTCCAGACAGGCCCTATATGTTTTCAGATTCGCATCGTAAATCGACTCGGCCAAACTCAGAGTTCAGAGGCAATGAGTTCGACCACCGAATAATGTCATGAATATGTCATATATATATATATATATATATATATATATATATATATATATATATATATATATTGTAAGTTAAATTTACAAAATATAACCAAAGAATTCAATCATCCAAATTTATATCCAATTCACCAAATTCATCTAAATTCACAAAATTTATAAAATAGAAATCCCATACATACTCAATCCTTGATAAATAGCAATCCAAATAAGGCAATAAGTTCATGTTCAATTCTTGATAAATATCAATCCAAATAAAAGCAGCATGTTCAATTTCTAAATCAAAGAGCTATCTAAGCCATACTTCATCTTCATTTTCATTATCTCCAATTTCATAACTTTTCAAGTACATATCATCCTCATTATCAAGTTGCACAATAATATTTGTGTCTTTCTTACCCAAATCTCATTTAAACACTCATAAATAAAAAATTTAAAAATTTCATGCCAGATTCTGTTCTACGTTTATGATCTGATTTGGATGTTGGATTTGGTCAAAAGTACGTAGCCGGAGGCCCGGAACATGACAAAATGGGATTAAATTAAACTGCCGCTGGCATCCTCCCTTTATTTTCATCAAAGCAAAAGCCCCCAACATTTTTTAAGAACAAGAATGATCTTCAGAGCACTCTTACTAAAGAGACATAGCTATCACTAGACGTGACATGAGAAATCCATTGTATATCACCCATTTCAAACACCAAGTCCATCAGATTTTTGGGGAGAAAATGATCACTATGGGTGTATAAGAACGAAAATGCGACATTATGTAGTTAAGAAACATAAAAAGATTCCCATCAGAAATTAAAGTTTGCCATGGGGGTGTTTCATCAAAATGATGACATGCATAACCAAAGCCAAAAAAAAAAAAAGGTATGATGGGTTGGATGATATCTGAAATAGTTTACTATTAAGTTTCTAATTTGACTTTTCTTGGAACATTTTATTATGGCACCAACTAGGTACAATACAATTGCAAGGCTCCAAAATAAAATATACACCTCTAATTACGCGACCCAAAATCCAATGACTATAAGATTATCAGTAGCGACAAAGAAAGCATCAAAGCATGAAAGCAATAGCCCCTTCATTCACTTGAGATATATAGCATATACCTTCCTTGCAAGGCGCGATGTAAATTGCAATCCATTTTTTGTTATTTGTATTTTTATCATTTGCTTTATTATGCAATCTAATAAATAAAAAACATATGATTAAAATGATAGTGAAAATGTAATTAACGAAAATAGAAGTGCCATCTCTCTAAAAATGGATAATAAAAACCATTTTAAGCCCAACTCACAAATTGGTTTTAGTTCTACAAAAAGACTGAAATCAACTTCATTATCTTTCTCATTTGGTTCAAGCATTAAAGTTTCTGTATTACTCCAACTGAATACGGCTTGCAGATTGATTTAGAACAAAAAATTTTCAATGGAATTTGAGTTTTGAGGCAATTACTGGAGTGGAATGCCCTTGGTAAAGTAAATTGCAAATAAAAGTATTTTGGACAGGGACTTATGCAATTATTTGCTACGGAGTCCTCCTCAAGATTTATATTTTTTTGAGCCCCCACAATTTTTCAATATCTACCAGTCACTCGCATATCAAATTGCTCGGCTGCCCTTGAATTGGTTCATATTGATAATTGAACCAAAAATTCTCTATTGAGCACAATGCAAAAGGTACTTGGAGGAGCCGTGGGCTCATTTTCAGGGGCCGTCCGCTTCAAAATTTAAACAAAAAATAAATAAATGAATGGATAAATGAATGAAAGGTCTAGATCGAGCCAAATGGGCCGGCTCGATTAGGATCCTTGCTTTCCATTACCTAACTCGACATTATTTTCACTCTCCAATTCCCCTCTCATAAGCAAATCTTCCTTTCTTTATACACTGACGATTGAGAAATAGCAATAGTATTACCACTTCAGTTGACTAGCGCAGGGATCAACACTTCTTGCTCTTGCTGGAAAGCAAAAGTACAAGCTGAGAAAAACCAAGAAAGTTAAGAGAGTTACAACTTAATGACGAAAGATAAAGGCATGGCTGTAGGCGTTGGGGGTCATGAAAGGCTTATCAATGGCCAGGGCTTAGAGGTTGAAGGTAAGATCACTGCTGCTGTGGTCATCACCTGCATCGTGGCTGCATCAGGTGGTCTCATTTTTGGATATGACATTGGCATTTCAGGTATGTACTTGTCTTCTGTTTTCATTCTTTAATTAGTTGGGACTCCTTGCTACGTAGTTTTCTGCTTATTAGTATGATTTTGCTTGCCACCTGATATAAATGAGAAAGTATGTCAGGCTCAAATATGGGGCTCACCAGCTAGATTTTGAGCCCATCTGTTGTATTCTTCGTATTTTTTGCTGCTTTTTACCTTCCCGGGATATTAAATTTCATCAGTTAACAGGATAATGGTGCTAGTGCAATCTGTTGACTGTTAGATGAAATTTATTTCCTACTATACAAACCACAGCTGTTATAATGCTTCAGATGTTTGTTGACTGAATTGGTTGAATGAAACATGCGGACAAACTCAATAATTGATGATCACTAGGAGGTTAGAATACGCAGTTGTTATAATTGGTTCGTCATATTTTAATGTTTTTTAAATGCATAAGAAATTAAAATTTACATATATACAAAAGAGTCCAGTCAAAGTTCCACCAAACTGTCACTTCCTATGTGGAATATGACATGTTTGGCACTAATGACATGGCATTAACTTGCTTTCTTTTTGCTCTTTTTCTTCTTGATGTGCAATTTTCCCTGTTTCCTGTTTTCTTTCTTCTGTGTATTGTTTAATTCCATGCGAGCGTCCTCTTGTCGCTGCTGAATCCATAAGCAGGGCTAGCACTATAGCGGCAATGGCTGCTGCCCCTTTTCAAAGACATGAAGAAGCTCAAAGTATATGCATAAAATCTCACAACATAACAACCATCATTTGTCTCCGATCAATATCTAAATAGCCAGCTAAAGGAACATGACATTAGTATCCATCTTCTTTGAGGTGTTGGTCACCAAAATTTCGATTAATTTAATTTGTTATCTACATGTTCATCTAAGCATTTTCAACCTAAAGTAGTTAAGAGTACTTAAAAAAATAAAAAAGAAAAGAAAAGACAATCCCAAATACATGTTGTAATCGAAGGCTTTTTTTTTTTTTTTTTTTTTTTTTTTTTTTTTTTTTTTTTTTTTTTTTTTTGGTTTTTTTTTTTTTTTTTTTTTTTTTCATTTTTTAGTGTAAGTGGGAGATTTTAAACATGTAACCTCTCACTTACACGTTCTCCTCTGTACAACCCGCTGTAAATAATCAAAAATTAGGCCTACAACTGCACAATTGTTCGCACACTACAATTGACATGTAAAGTGGCTTTTGGGGGAGCATGGGGAGATAAAAGAGGACAATTAGATCATGGTGGAGATGCTGATAATCAAGGGTATAAGAAATTGAAAATATCACTTATCAATAGGCGTTCAAGTACTTGAAATTAATGTAATTCAATGAAAATCTTAAGTTCAAGTTAGTCATTTTCAGACAAGCAGCATGTTGTGAAATCTAGAAGAAAGCTTCAAAGAATATCTACCAATAAGACCTTCAATTTTCTTTTTCTTTTGCTTTCTTAATGAATTGAGAATGGTAGATTCTATTGCCCACATAAGTGGGAGAAATCAAGAAAACAAAACAAGATTGGAAATCGCTAAAATATCAACATTTCTCCTCGTCAGATTTATGCATAGGTGACCAATTGGTGTACCCCCGATTGAGAAATTTTGTTTCACATGTACACACTATACACAGCCCTACTGTTGCCCTATTTTTTTTAGATAGATGGCATATTTGATATT